AGGGGGCGGGAAGAATATTGGAAGACAGAATGGCCAAAAAAATCTCTAAATCCGAGGGAAACAATCAGCCCACATAACTAAGAAGCTTGAAGAACCCCAAGAAATGTGAAGAAAACTGCAGCAAGGCACATGGTAAGTTAAATTCTTAAAAGTAGTGGTAGAGACCATCCTGAAAGCAGCAGGAAAGCTGACGGGCTGAGGGCTTCAGCTCTAAACCTGGAGCTGTTTACACTGAACTGACAACTGAGGAGCCATTAATGACTCAGCCCCTCAGTGAACCAGCCACTCCAGCCACTCGCTTCTGCTTCTCTGGCAGAAGGCCAGAGGCCACTGTGCACACTACAGAAGAAGCTACCAGCCAAAAAAGGAGACGGTGCAATCACCGAAAAGGCGGGAAACAGGAAGCAAATAAAAGACTAACAGCAAGGTGTTCGACTTGAACCAAACTCTATCAGTAACCACACAAAGCAAGCTGTCTAAATGGGACCGTCAAAAGGCAGAAACAGGCAGATGGGGCTCCCAGCCGCCCGTGGCACATGTGAACCAGGCTGAGGGCTGAGCCCAATGCACATCCTGACCTCATTGAAACGCGAGTATGGGGAGAGTCAGTACTTCCATCGGTGCTTCTCCTACCTCTGCGAGTAATGGCTGAAAAGTCAGGATGTCAATTTTTTGCTCCACGCATTTCTTCAGTCGGTCAGGTATTGGGTACTGGGGAAGGAAACTTGGAAGTTGCCGTCTTGAATTCCTTAACAAAGAAATTCACAGTTGGAAATGGTTCTTAATCCCCAACATCTGACACAAAGCATTTACTGCACACCCTCTCCTGTGAGAGAGAGACACCCAGGTTCATCGGTCACCACAAGGAACGACACAGCAGCCGCTGGCCCATGTCAGCAGGGTGCCAGCGTTCCCCTTGGGCCGTCCTCCCCACCTGCTACAGGGACGGGCCAATGCACAAGAACGCGGGAGCCAAAGGGTCTCAAACAGCAGTCTCTAAGCTCCCAGTGATCTGCCCCTGATGGCTGTGCCTGGCAGGACGTGACTATGGGAGACACAGCCACGGCCGCAGAAAACGCTGGTGATGGCAGCTCTGCCTGGGGCCTGCCTCCCTGTTCTCAGCTGCCAGCTCTCTAGGGAGGTCACTGTCACCCTCAAGCTCTGCCTTCCCTGGGAAGGGCTGTCACTGGGAGTCACCAAGTCAGCCACCAGCAGGAAGAGTATCACCACTCCTGTGGGCAAGTATGCAACAAGGTGGCAGGAGAGGGAACTGGGAGAGGAGAAATCAGGTCGTTGTCATTTACAGGTGCACCTGATGCAGTGAGGACAGGTGCCGACACCACCCCATTCTCCCCAACTCTGCTACTCGAGGTGAGAACCACCTTCCTTGTTCTCCAACCCCAAGGTCAACAGCCTCACAACACTGCTGACATGCTAGTAAAACCTGGGACAACTGAGCTTAAACTGCTACCGATCTGGGAAACTGAAGTAGTACATGCCTCCCATGGGCTCCGGGCGGTCCCCGAGTTAGCCCACCAGTCACCACAGCTGAGGGCACATCCATGATGCATAGGACAAGCCACAATGCATGCGAAATACTGCCACATCCACACAGGTAACATTTTTTGGCACCAAACTTTTCAGAGGTTTCCGACCTGCATCATCTTTGGGACGACACCCAATTAAAGTCTGGGTGTCCCCACATCCCCCACCCTGTGGCAATAGCAAACGGCAATGTTGTTCTTAGTCTCATTTTTCAAAGATGCTACATCCTCAAATGGGCTTCAAGGAGCCACCAGCCCTGCTGCCCCAAACACAGTGAGACTTGGTGGCTGTAACAGCTCGAGATGGCCACGCCAGTCATGTTCTGCTGGCCCCTCACTAACCAGTGCCTCTAGGTGCCCGTGTGGGATGTGGGCTGTCTCGGGAGATGGGTTGGCTGTCAAGAATATAAGGTGTCGGGAACGAGAGTGTGTCACCATCTCAGAAGGTCACCCTGAGACCAGCTGGGTGAAGTGTCGGCCGGGGCATTGCAGGCCCACCTTCTCGTCCTCACACACACTGTGGGCTGCGCCCCAGCCCGCCTCAGACACAGTTCTGTACAAACACATGTCCCCCAAGTGCAAGGGTGGAAAGACTCCCCCCCCCACACACACACACTGCAAGTGCACACCAGCCACGCTGCCATCTCTCCTGTCATGGTACCTTTTCTGCGTGGTCACGACAACTGTAGTTTTCGTGGGTGTAGGCACCTGGGGACTCTTAGACTTCTTCCATAGGAAGGGCTCACGCACGGCTATCAGGGACTCCTCCGCACTCACCACGCTCACATCCAGGAAGCGCCCAATGAGGAAGCTGGAGAAGCAGAGCAGGAGCAGCTCCTTGCAGCGTCCGGCAGTCCTTCAACAATAGGACACAGTCAGCGTGGGTCATCGACAGACAGGCAGGGTCCAGCATGGTCCCTCTGCACACAAGGCAGTCAGGGCTCTCAGACCAGTGTCCTTTGTTTTTAATAATTCTCCTTACAGGGAAAAAGTGACTTTCTACAATAAGCAATGCACTATTTCCCAAAACAAAATCAAACACCCGAAACAGTCATCTCTGTCATTGTCAAATCTAAGAACAGTAAGAAAAGCATCTTCATTCTTCCCAAGTTTCAATCAGAATTGTATGACGTGACCAGACACGAGTTTTCACTGCTTCTTGCCCAAGCTTCTGCTCTCGCCTGGTCCCCAGTGTGGTCCCCATCCCACATCATCACCATGTCCCAGAGATCACGTAGAGCAGCCGTGGCACATGCTGCAGACTGAAGGATTCGTAAGGGTCCCCCGTGATTGGACCCTGCCGGGCTTGCAGCAAGGCAAGGACTCACTCAGATCCATGTTTTTAAAAGGTTTACAATTAATTAGCAAATGTAGATAGAAGGCGAGCAAGGGAAAGCCTGCAGCCAAAATGTCCAGCTGACAGATGACCAGCACGCAGTGGCCAGAGCTTGGGACATGTGGAAGGAGGCAGAAGAGGCAGTGGCTCGGCTCCCATAGGCTGAGGGTGTCCAGCCATCTTGTCACTCAGAATTCAGGGGAGGGAGGGCTGTCAGATTCCAGGGTCATTGCCTCGCATGGCTGAGCTCACTCGGGCCACTCTCTCTGCCAACTCTTCCTTTTGAGTTTGTCTCATCAAAAGAGCTACAGATACTGTTTATAACACTGGACCCAGAACGACCACACAAGGGACCTAAAAGACATGTGTCCACGTCCCCAAAGCAAACTCAGTGCAAACCTGCAGCCACGTACTTTGCCTCACAGATGACCACGATCAGAGTTTTTCCACCGGGAGGGATGAGCCCGCTGGGTTCTGGCTCTGTGCTCTGCCTCATGGAGATGCTCTGTCCTTTCCCTTCATCTTCTCCTCTGCAGGTGCAGTCATCTGAGGGGAAACCAGACCCAATGGTAAGTGGTTTTAGATAGAGGTGGCACACCTGTGCACACACGCACACACAGCCACGCACCAGACCAGGGACTACAAAGCTGACGGCAGGCAGCCTTCCCCCAAGTTAGAACCATGTGCAGGAAACAGCGTGCCTGACACACTTCTGGGTATCATCAGCTACTTGTCCCTGTCCTCAGCCTTGAAACATCAGAGAAGGTCTAGAACCAAAGAGCTCAGAGCATCGAGGGCTCCGAGGCCCCCAGAATGGCCGGGGCTCAGGCGGCGACCTCACGTTACCTGGAGAGATGACTCTGTTGTGGGCCAGGCTGCTCTCCGACATCAGGTAGGTCTTGCTGTCCGGGCCACTGTCTGATGAGAAGCTCCCCTGCTTCTCAGGGTTGGGAGCAGAGGCTGGCAGGCAGCGCTGGGGCCCCTGCAGCATATGGAAGCGGAACTGCCTGGTTCTGTCCCAGCCGGCCAGCTTACAGCTGACCAGGTTTTGCGGAACGTCTCCTTTATTCCTGCACAAAGGGACTGGCCGTCAGCACAGATGGAATCTCTGATGCTTACAGAGTTACTGTAAGGCACAGAACTCAAAAGAACTAGTGAGTGGCGACTACAAATACCTTTATGAGTAAAAACAAAAGGAAGTTTTGTGGTGAACACTTTCATATGGGGAAAAACTGAGAAAAAAGCAGTTTGTTCTACAGAATCTGAGTGGGTGGGACTCACTCAATGCAGATTACCAGGCTCCTACTTCCTCCCTCCGTAAGCGTCCCAAAGTCTGTCTCTCTCGTGACTTCAATGCCACCTTTGTTCTTCAGTAAAAGGGCTTCGCAGGTCCCTTCAGCGGCCGAGGAGGCAGAGTCGTCTCTGGAGAGAGTCCCCCAGACAGGTGTCACTGTCATAGTGCAGGCTGCCTCCTGAGGCACCACCACCCTCCCACCTGTCTCCTCCCAGACCTGAAACCCAGTTGCAGGACAAGCTGCTAGATGACAGACAGTCCACCCCACAGAGGGACCAGCTGGGCCTGGCCCTCCAGTGCTGAGGACCCGCAAGGACACAGTGATCCTGAGGAAGAGAACAGCCTACAGACGCAGAGAAGCGGTGGCACAGTGGTGACACCTGGAAGGTAGTCCTGAGCCTTGGGGTGGGGCTATTAGGGACACAGCAGGCTTCCATCTGGGACAAGTTTGTTGCTCCTGAGTGAGCAGCTTTTCCCTGCCCCCAGCCTGGGCCTGTTTCCCTTTATTCCACAGACACTGCTCACATAAGCACTGTCTCCAGGAGGCCTCCCGGGCACACTCCCTGCCCCACCTGCCTGTGGCTGCACTTAGAGTGGGGCCTGTGTGCTTCTGCCCACGCCCACACGCAGGGACATCCTCCCCACACCAGTGATCCCTTGTGACAGTGATCCCTTGTCAACCATGCCCACAGCCTGAGCAGGCAGGCAGTCCATCCCTGCCGCCCTCACAGACCCCTCCCTTGCCCAGGCTGAGCCTGTTTGCTAGTGAGGAGATGGGGTGACTGCCTGAATAATTGGGGGCCCTGGGTAGTGACATCACTGGAGTGTGTGCTGAGGAGGAAAGGCGGGTGGAGAGGGGTACTTCATGGCGGGGAGCCCGCTTTGTGAGCCTACCCTCCAGAGGTGGAGGCCACTGGACACCATGGAAGGACAGACACAGGGTGTCCATCACTTAGGAGCCTGCCATGTCCAGCGTCCTACAAAATGCTAATGTGTTAAAGAACAAGATAGCCCACCAAGTATGGAGACTGCCCAGGTCAGGCTAAGGGGAGGAGGGAGGCTTCAACTCGAGCTCCCATCGAGCACCATCAACACCCCCCAGGAAACACCGCCTCCCACCATCGCCCAATGGGATGTGGACACATCGGCGGCCGCTGGGCTAGTGCAGGGAATGCTCACCACCACCCTACCCAGTGGCCCTCTTACCGTCTCTTCACCGGGATCACACACAGCGCCCGCCACATATAGCAGGACTGGCTGCTCTCCACCACCACGGCGCTGACCACGTCGTGCCTTCGCGGCACGTACCCATCGGGGAGCTTCAGAGAGTCCAGGGTGAAGAAGACGCTGTCGTCGATCACCCCGTTCCTCCCACAGAGGCTGGAGATGCAGACCTGTGGGCAGTGTCCAGCCAGCCTCACCAACCAGCTGGCCCACTGGCCCCAAAGGCCTGGTGACCGTGGCCTCCCCTCACCTGTGGGGACCCTGCTCTTGGAGCAGAAGCAATGCTGGGATGACACGCTATAGGACCTCAGAGCCATGGCCCCACACACGCCACCACCCACCACAGTCCAGTCATATGCCAAAGCCCAGCCCCCTCTGCCCTCAATGCCCACATGCAGGGCAAGGGCAATTCTGTGTAAAGTACCCACTTAGGACTAAACCAGGACAGTGTGCCAGGAGATCTCTGCCCAAGACTTAACCTGACTGGTGACCCCAGTGCACCCAGGAGAACCGGGACACCTGAGAGCCAGCACTCACCCTGTCCACACGCTTGTACCGCAGCGGCTTCACTGATAGGGCCTCACTGCTCCACGTGCCAGGCCGGATCCAGTACGTGGCCTCCACCCAGTCACCCTTGCATGGCTCGAAACCTCCGAGGCAGGAGAGCAGTGTTACCCACGTCCGCCCCACCAGTGTCCAGCCCCCTGGAGGGGACGACGCGCTGGTCTTTCCTGCTCAAGCTGAGAAGCTGGTGCTCTGCTGTCAGGGACACACCTATCACCGAGTCTCCTCCAGACCCACCTAGCTGCACTGCCTCCTCCCCTCAGCCTCCTCCCTGTCAGACAAGCCCATGGCCGGGTGGCCATACAGCTGGAGGGCAGAATCTCCAAAGCCTACCTGGTTTCAGCTATTCCCTGTATTTTTTCATTAAAAAACCCAATTATCATTAACAACTACAACAGAATAAGCTCAGTGGCAGGCCTGTCATCACCTCTGACTTCCAGGAGGGATGAGTACATGTGGTGGACAGGTGCATCTGTCTCTGCCAGCTCTGCCCAGACGCAGTGGCAGTGCCCCTCCCACTCAGAGACACACAAGGTGCAGGGGATGTGGGAAGTGAGGGCTGGCAGCTGTCTATGCCAGCTCCGGTGGGAGCAGGCAGAGCCTTGCCAGCCCTGTGGCACGCCAGGTAGCTGTGCTGTGGCCTGCAGGGTGCAAGGCGCCACTGGGCCCCACTGGCAGGCTGGTGGGAAAGCTGGGAAGGTCAGTGATGTGGGATGCAGTCTAATGTGAGACAGGGAGAGCGCAGTCTGGGCAGGTTGGCTGTGGGGCCAGGTGTAAAGCTACAACTAGGCACAGTCTTTTGGTTATTTTGCAGTAAACACTCTGATAGCAACAGGCTCAAATGACAAGGCACGTAAGTGGATAATGAGCTTGTTTCTCAAGGGAGCTGGTGATAAACACACACGAGCCCAGACGCTGGGACAGTTACTGCTCTGTGAGGGCTGAGGAGGCAGGCGGACTGTGGGAGCGACAAGAGACCAGAGCTCCAGGCAGCGCCAAGTCAGCGAGGCAGGAGAGATGCTTCACACACTTTATCAGATCATGTGCAGCCTCTCTCTGCTGACTCTTTAATTCCAAATCCTCCAGCACACACTGAGAAGGGAAGCAATAGCTACTTGTACAAGCTGTTACTTTAAAGAGGAAGCAGTGGAGCAAATTCAAGTAAGTCTGATTTCCCTAGAGGAGTCACAGGCTCAAAGCAAGGACTCTGGAAGGTTGTTCTGTTGAAGGAGACACTTCTGATGTTGCTGTGATGCAGCTGTACATTCAGCTTAAAGCCCAGCACTGGAGGTAAGATCCACATACACGAGTTTCAATGGAATGAAGCACCATAATAAAAACAAGACCCATGCCAGTGAGCTGTCCATGGCAGGAATGAACCCCACACGTTCACACCCGTTTCTGCGCGTGCCACGATGTCACCAGTGAAACACACAGATGGACAGACTCCTGACAAAGCTCATCTCAGCAACATAAACCCAGGTCTCTGCAGCCCCACGTCCCAGTTTCACAGATGTCTGAGCCTTTCAGGAAGCACTCTGCAAACAAGCTGACGATGGTGCTCCTTTTAATTTTTTAAGCCAGGCCTCTAAATTTTGGTGGCACTTCATTCAAAATCTGTTGGAAACCTTTAATCAAAGTACCCAGACATGGGACCAGAAACCTTCAGCTTCGGAAACCTTTTGTGGATGAACTGTAGTTACTGGAAACGCAGCTGCGACTAGGAAGACAGCAACACTGACCTCCTGCAGTGCCGGCGGGAAGGAAGCAGCATGGCCACATGAAGACGGGTCCCTGGAGCAAACAGACTGGTCACTAATGAGGCACCCTGACCAGGGTGGGGCCTCAGACTACAGGTGGTGCTGGGCTCTTAAAAGATCTCAGGAAGGATCCATGGAACTTCCTCTCCACCTCACAGGCGGGTGCGTAAACAAGTTTAATTTGAAAATAAATAATGAGACTTGTGGGTCAGGCTGGGCACTCAGGATCCACCGTGTGCCCTGGATGTGAATAGAGAGGAGCAGGACCTCTGCCCCTCAGGCTTCAGACCCCACCCTGGGCCAGTGGTGCCCACCCAGGGCGATGCTACCTGTCAGGGCAGTGTGAAAGCAGCTGTGGATGGCCTCATCCTAGTCACACCAGGGGATGGGGTGAGAGCTGCTGGCATCTAAAGGCCAGGTCACCCCACAACAGAGAGCGACCAGCATCGATGTTGCAGCACTGAGCATGAGGAGCCTGCTGCGGCTGGACACCCAGCTCCATGGTGGCCGCTGTGGCAGAGACGGTCAAGGACTCATCAGAGATCCACACATAAATCAGCTGAGCCACTGCTGCTAAGAGTTCCCACAAGCCTCATTTGTGGGCCAAGATCTCAAACACGTGGTCCACGACACTGGGCAGATGGGCACCACCGCCTCAGTGGTCTCAGACTGGGGACCTCGCCTCCCACCTCCTACTGCTCAGCATTTATAGGCTCCTGCGACACCTCTCCTGAAAGTTGGTATGCGCTCACCCATTGCCTGACTGAGCTGGGCCTCACCCTGTTACCGGGAGGCTTATGTAGGACAAATGTGTGAGCAACCTGGGTCCTTCCTGAAGACCCCTCCATCTGCTCCACCCCCAGGGTAGCCAGGTCTCACCCAGTCCTGAGGGAACCCCAAGTTGGCCCACCCCATCCTACCCCAGTACCTGAGTGGTTCCTGCAGGGCACAGAATGCTGCGTGCCCCCTGTCCACCCTCCCATTTCATTAGAGCCAGAGCTCCGAGCAGCCTGGCTGAAACAAGGGACCCAGTAAGGAAACCACATTCTGACTCCACCAGTAAATGAAAAATCTGCCCCAATTCTTCCTTTTCCCATTTTAGGTCAGAGGATAGTGGACGGCCTGCCGCCTGTGTGTGGGAATAAAGTCTGATGAGGCGCTGTCTGTGGCTGCATTCGTACCACCACTGTCTCCGAGGTGAGACTACGAGGCAGTGCACAGCCCACAAGTTCTAACACTGACAATCTGTTATGATCTCTGTTCAGTTTTCTCTTTCAGGAATGTTTTTTCTGGATGGTCCTCAGGCTCTGCAACCACATGAGCAGCAGCTGTGTGGATGTCCCCGAGCATGATGCTCACTCAGAGGGAGAGGCTTGAGTGTGCTGGGGTCCTGCCACCTGTGTTCAGGTNCTTTTTCTGGATGGTCTTCAGGCTCTGCAGCCACATGAGCAGCAGCTGTGTGGATGTCCCCGAGCATGATGCTCACTCAGAGGGAGAGGCTTGAGTGTGTTGGGGTCCTGCCACCTGTGTTCAGGTGCCAGTTCTCAGGTGACCTCNGAGGGAGAGGCTTGAGTGTGCTGGGGTCCTGCCACCTGTGTTCAGGTGCCAGTTCTCAGGTGACCTCTTCTGTACCTGCCAGCCTATACCCGCAGCGTGCACCACGTCCCAGCCTGGAGTGGCTGCTACTCGCATGGTCACAGGGGCTCAGAGACTCCTTTGGAGCTGAGCCATCACAGGATCCGTTTTTCCGGAACTCAGAGTTCCTCTGTCAGGAGAGAGATTTCAAAGTCCCAGCCAGCCACCTGTCAATTTCATTTCGGGGACTCCCAAGGTTGGCCATCAAGGTTGGTCCCAGCTTTTACGTAACACAGCAGGCTTCCCAGAGGGATGAGCTGATGCCCTCCTGTCCCAGCTCCGCAGCCCAGGCGGAGAATTCCCATACCTACCTCTCAACTTGAGGCCTGCAAGGCCTGTGGCTAGAATTCAACTCAGAATGCACCTCCCCAGGCAGCTTTGCCAGGTCTCTCCCTGGGCCCCACTGCTGTGCTGTCCCCCACTGTGCACAGTAGGCCCACAGGAACAGCTGCCGGATTACACTCAACAGAGGGCACCGACACATTATTTCTTTAGGCATGAAAACAAAACCTCAGGTCAGCTAAAAACGAATGCAATTAAAAAGGATGTGTATTCTTGGGAAGGCACAAGGTTATCGTCCCCAAGTCCCAGTTAAAACATGTGAAGTGATTTAAAAACAGCAGCTCCTCTATCTACCTGTAGTAACAACGATGTGAGAGGCGCAATCACCCAGGAACCCGTGACTGTGTCCCACAAATGAGCACAATGCACAGAGCCCAGCCTCAGACCCTCCCAGCCCACAGAACGTGCCCCAATTCGACCCTCTCGAGGATGTGTGTAAACATTGCAAATCTAACATAAAACTGGAAAACCCCACCAAACCCACTTTAAACGTGACGTAGAAACCCGCCCGGCTCACCCTCACAGACGCTCGTCAGGGAAAAGTGTGTGGTCTGGTTGATGTAGCCGGCTCCCTTCGTCAGCGACGTCACGCAGCCCATCAGCACGCGGGGGCGGGAGTCGGACAGCCCTCCGCCCTGGCTTTTGCTGTCCTCCTCCCATTTATCAGAGACAGCTTCCACCTGAGACAGACAGACAGACAGACCTCCACTAAGCCACAACGAGAGGACCACAGGAACAGCAAACTGAAGACTAATACCCCTTATGAAGAGAGAGGCAAATTTTTCAACAAAATACTAGCAAACTGAATGCAGCAAAACAGTACAAGGATTACGCAGCACAACCAAGGGGGGCGTGTCCCAGGAGGCAGGGATGGTTTACACCGGAAAATCAATCAACATGATATGCCCCTTGGGTGAGCCAGGGAAAAACACACCGTCCATCAGCTCTGGTGATGCAAAAAAGGCACGTGACAAGACTCGACTTGCTTTCCTGACAAACGCTCAACAAACTAGGAACAGAAGGGAACCTCCCCGTGATCAAGGCCACGCACGCAGTACGCACAGCTAACGTCACAGGCAGTGGTGACACTGAGAGCTTTCCCTCTGAGGCCAGGAGCAAGGCAAGGGGCCTGTTTTTTGTCCCTTCTGTTCAAAACAGTACTGGAAGGTCCAGCCAGAGCAACGGGGAAAACAAGTAGTAAAAGGAGCACAGCCTGGGAAGAGGTAGTTTTATGTTTTCAGATGACATCATATTACACGTAGAAACCACTAAATAGTCCATTAAAAAAAGGTTATAGCTTATAAATGAATTCAGCAAAGTTGCAGGATACAAAATCAACACACAAAAATCAGTTGTATTTCTATACCCTTGCCCAAAACGGGAAATTTAAAAAGCCACTTGATACTTATGTAACATCAAAGAGAAAAAGATACTTAGGGATACATTTAACCAAGAAGGTGGAAGACTTCCAGGCTGGAAGTTGTAAAATGTGACTGAAAGGAGTTAAAAACACAAATAAATGGGAAGGCACTGTGTTCATGGGCTGGAAGACTGGTTAGACTGGAAGATTCCAAAGAGTGATGACTTCCACATCCTTGGTGGCACTCCTTTCGTCCTTCTCGGGAGAGTTCAAATTAGCACAGTGTGATTGGAGGGTGATTAGATGGTAACCGTTACAATGTTAGTACACAGTCAATGTGTACCCTTTGACTGATTCCACTTCCAAGAAATTACAGTACAAAAATACTGCTTTTAAAGGAAAAAAAATGCTGAATAATAGTCCACTTATTGTCTTTACTAGTTGGAGAACAGAGGATCCAATAATTATTATTTTTAACAATGTTCCTTAAACTCTAGAACAGATACAGAAATGCTGAGTGTTCTCCTCCGTACTGTACAATTACAGGCAAGCTTGTGAATTACAAAATGCTGCGGTGTTTGAATGATCTACAATGACCACCACTAATTTACTTATTACTTAAAATTTTTTTTTTAAGTCCTTGCCCGAGGATATTTTTTTCCCACTGCTTTTCAGAGAGTGGGAGAGAGAAACATTGTGAGAGAGAGACCAACAGGCTGCCTCTTGCATGTGCTCCGACTGGGGCCTGGGATTGAGCCGCAACCGAAGCACACGCCCTTGGCTGGAATAGAGCCTTTACTCTGAAGGCTGGTGCTCTAACCACTAGGCAAAACCGGCCAGGGCCACCCTCTGATTTCTTTATTATCATTTTTTAAATATATCTATTGATTTCAGAGAGAGGAAGGGACAGGGAGAGAGAGATTTGAAACATCAATGATGAGAGTCGTCATTGATCAACTGTGAGCCCGCAACCTGGGCATGTGCCCTCACTGGGAATCAAACTGCGATCTCCAGGATCTTAGGTTAATGCTCAACCGCTGAGCCACCCCTGGCCGGGCCCCACTGATTTTTTTAAAAACCTGCACCCTAGGCAGGTACGCTCCAGCCTCTCCCTTAGCCAGGCTGTCTCTCCAGAGGCTACCTGAACAGGAGGACAGCTCCGCGAAACCCCACGGTGAAGAAAGTTCCCAAACCAACTCGGGCCTCACCCTGATTGCTTTCAGTCCATTGGACACTTTATTTTCTTCCACAACTGCAATAACCTCCTGCCCAACGTTCAGGAGCACTTTGCTAGTCACCACCTCGTTGGAGAAGTAGATCAGATCGTCAATCATGCCATAATCGCTGCAGTACCTCGTCACCACACCCTGGACGGTCTTCAGCTTGGTGTCCCCTGAGCGGGCAGACAAAGAGGTTATGCCGACCACGAACGCGAGCGCACCCTCCCGAGCGGAGGGTGGAGCGCGGGGCACCCGAGGGGGCGGAGGGCCTCCCCGGGAGAGCTCAGAGAGCCGGCGCGTGGGGCAGGCTGCCCGGCGCTCTATCTCCAGCTCTTCCACCGCGACGTGTAGCCTCAGGCCGAGTCCCCCACCGCCCCGGGCGCGCCGTAAATGC